CATTTTTCACAACGGGAATTATTTTTCTCTCGACAGGTCAAGTTGTCAAGGGGTCTTTGTGTGGAGGCCATCAAAGCAATTCTGATCAAAACACTTGCTCGGAAGGTGATGAAGTTTTCCTCAAAACAATAAAGTGACTAAATCCGTTAGCATACTGTGTTTGGCATTCATAGAAGTCCTCAGTGGCATGCCTGGATATCCGTCTCGGGATTTGGCTTTGCCCCAGAAAGCTTCTGAGAGGCTGTCTGCACCCAATCTGCCCTTAGCATACTGTGTTTGGCATTCATAGAAGTCCTCAGTGGCATGCCTGGATATCCGTCTCGGGATTTGGCTTTGCCCCAGAAAGCTTCTGAGAGGCTGTCTGCACCCAATCTGCCCTCAGGAGAGGCCAGATGCAATTGTTTGCCTCCTCTACTGCTAGCAGCGTTTGCCCTGGCTTTTCCTTTCTTGCCGCCCTACTCTGGACAGAAGGGATGAGAAGCAGGGGTCCCTGGGCTTGCAGACCCTTGGTGGGTGGCCCAGGTCAAAGGAGGTGCAGTGAGCTCAGGGAGCTGGGGAACATTGGCCGACACCCTCACGGAAGGTCTCAGACATCTTTCTGGGGACCCCACCACACCTCACCAGACTGAATCTCCAGCCCCGTGGGACCCGATCCTTGCCCATGCCGTCCGATTCAAAATCTACTGGGGAGAGTAGTCCGGAATGCCCACCTGGCGGTCTGAAGCGCCCTCCCCCTTCAGTGGAACGGAACAGTGGAACGGAAAACCGGTTCAGGGAGTCGCTGAAGTCAGGGCGATAGGGCTCCTGCCCTGCTTGTCGCACGCAGCCTCATTTTCCGGAGCCGCCTTCGGACACCTCCGCCAGCATCTTCCCATGCCACTGCTGCCAGCCAACCGGGGAGCGCGGACATTGCGACTGGCCGGCCAGGAACGCAAATGCGCATGCGCAAGCAGCTGGTGACAACCGCGAGGGCCCACCCGAGGCTCACGTCACAGTGACCGCCTGGGGAACCGCCATCTCAGCGGCTGGGCAAGGCATGGGCCCTCCGTGGCAGTCCTTTGGCATTGGGCAACGGCCCACCCCCGTCTTTCGGGATCGTCGCCCAGGTCCCGTGATTTCAGGATTCCCGCAGGGTGGAGCCAGGCTGAGGAAAGCTGCAGGGGAGTTTCAGGGATGCCCAGGGCGATCCCCAAGGATCCCCAGGATACTTCAGGCCTGCTCAGACGCTGTGGGAAATGCGTCTCCTTGAACGCTGTCCCTGCTGGGAATTCCAGGTACTGCCAGGCTGTGTGCTGAGGGCTGCTCTCCCCCCGAGGGGCTTCCCGTCAGAAAGCAGAACCCGAAGCTTCAGGAGCTGTCTGCACCTGTTGGATGTCTCCGTGTGTCTACCTGTGTGTGTGTGTGTGTGTGTGTGTGTGTGTGTGTGTGTGTGTCTGTCTGTCTGTCTATATGTGTTCATGTGTATCTTTCTGCGTGTTTATATGTGTGTGTTCGAGTCTGGACATAAGTGTGAACTGTGCACTCAATCGCGGTTGCTCTCTAGTCTGGCTACCTTCTGCTGGATGTGTGTCCTCAGCGGCTTAGGAGCTGCGGGTCCCCGCCTTCTTTGTGTTGCTCCTGGTTTCTGAAGCCTTAGTGTAGTGGGGGTCTGGCTCCCACATGCAGCCCTCCTAATCACCTGCCCATCCCAAGGGAAGGTCACTCCTGCAGAAAGTAGACGAACACAGCACAGTGGAAACCATACTCTTCCATGGCCCCTTGGTCCTGCCGCACAGGTAGGGATGGTACTATCCTCAGGTCTTTTTCAGGGACTACTGTGTTGGTAGGTTTTCTGGTTAGGATTCTTGTGAAGAACACAGATTTTCATTCCTGTGTCAGAGAGAGCCTGAGATTCTGTATTTTGAGTAGGTTCTTGAGATGACAGTGCTGATGGGTCATGATTGATATTTGCAGGAGCAAGACTCAGGATTGTTCTTTGGAAGTCATTACTAGATGTGGCTTCTGCATTCAAGGGCCTCTTCCTAATTTCCTTCCTGAGATAATTCAAACACATTGATGGGCAAGAGAGATGGAAACAGAGACATAGTTCCTAAATTGCCTTTTCTTGATTTACTCATTGAATGGACTCTTTGCTTCTTCAGGGACAAATTAAATGATCTGCAGTTAGCCATGGGATGAAATCACACTTGGCTTGCTATGAGGAAGAATTGAAATGACAATAAGGGAAGAAAACATTAACAGATTACTAGTATCATGTCATTGTGATCAGAATGATTTGGTACCTACTCTCACTTGGGAATGATCCTTGATCTCAGCTGTCCAAGTAATTCTGGGGAGCAGTGCCTGCTTTCTCTTCCAGTCTCTAAGGAAAAGTGGTCTGCATGTGGGAATGGTGACATCTACACAGAGGCTGTGATGTGATTGGTGGAGTTTTCTAACATATTGACTGCAAATATCCAGGTACTTACAGTCTTTCTTAAACATCTGTGTAATCTGAACTGTACGATGTGAATTTTAGCTGAATTACTTTACAGGAATGCTTTCTATGGCATTGTAACGGGTTTGACTTTAACTAGTACTTAGGAGCTGTGAGACCTTTTCCTTCTGCTCTTCTTCTGCTGCTGAGAAATTCTCTCTGTCCATAAAGATGCATGCACCTGCCTACCTGTGGCCAAACTACGTGTGTAGGACAATCACTGGATTTAGCATTTCAGCTGTAGAAGTCACACCAGACAAGATCGGAAAACTGACATGCTCTGAATAAATGCTAATCACAGACATTTATGAAAGTATACATACAGTACATTTAATTTGTTACTTTTTATTTCCCATGGCATCGATGGTCACAACATATGCTGGTCCCATAAAGTATGAATGATAAATAGTTATTTCCTCAAGAGCCTAACTAAAGCCACCATGTTTGACAGAGAAAACTTATTTTGTCCTTAAGCAAACCCCCGATATGGGAGTTTCCATGTTGTTCTTGCTATTGTAGTTCTCCCAGAGAAGCAGAGGAGGAAAACAGAGCTTCGTTCCTGAGGGAGGAAAACATGAGGTTGGAAGAAGTTACACACCTTTCCACAGCCTTACCTTTGAGAAGATTTCTTTCTGAAAATTATTTCCGTTATATCCTTATCCTGTTTTCTTTTATTAGCTCTTGGATGGCAGGAAAGAGTTCCTAGAGAGAGAAGACAAAGAGCCGTTTGTGCTGCAAAAGAAACCCCAGGCTGAAGACTGGAGATCTGAATGTGCAACCTGCAAGGGAACTGGAGACAATGAAACTCCTGTCAGGTAAGTTGGATGCTAGAAGCTTGTGTGGAGGGGATGAAGGTTCCGTGTTTATGATTTGCCCATAACAGCAAACAAGTAAAACCAAACCGCAGGGTAGGACCTGCCATAAAATAGAATTTAGTGAAAACAGTCCTTCAGAAACAGATTTCATCCACTGATTCACCTTCCACATGTGTCCATAAAAGTGAGAATCTGCATTTTTTACACTGAGAATTATTTTTCTCTCGACAGGTCAAGTTGACAAGGGGTCTCAGTGTAGAGGCCATCAAAGTAATTTTGGTCAAAACACTTGGTGGCAAGATGATGAAGTTTTCTGTTGAAACAATAAAGTGACTAAATCCGTTAGCATGTTGTGCCTGGCGTTCATCGGTGTCCTCAGCAACATGCCTGGATATCCGTCTCAGGATTTGGCTTCACCCCAGAAAGCTTCTGAGAAGCTGTCTTCACCCAATCTGCCCCCAGGGGAGGCCAGATGTAGTTGTTGCCTCCTCTACTGCAGGCTACACATGCCGCAGCTTTTCCTTTCTTGCCGCCTTCTCCGGACAGCAGTGATGAGAAGCAGGGCTCCCTGGGCTTTCAGAGCACTAGGCAGGGCCCCTTGGTGGGTGGCCCAGGTCTCAGGAGAGGCAGTGAGTCTAGGGAGCTGGGAACACGACACTTTCCCGGAGGGTCTCAGGCATCTTTCCGGGGTCCAGGGACCCCCACCACACCTCACCAGACTGAATCTCCAGCCCCTTCGGACCCGGTCCCTGCCCATGCCGTCTTATCCAGAATCTACTGGGGAGAGTAGTCCAAAATACCCACCTCGTTTTCTGAAGCTTCCTTCCTCTTCAGAGGACCGGAATAGGAAAACCGCTTCAGGGAGCCGCTGAAGTCAGGACGATAGGGCTCCTGCCCTGCTTGTGGCCTGCAGCCTTCTTTCCAAGGGCCGCCTAAGACACCTCTGCCAGGATTTTTCCAAGCCACTGCTGCCGGCTGGTGGGGGTGCAGACATAGCGGCTGGCCAGCCGGGAATACCAATGCTCATGCGCAGTCGGCGGGTGGCAAGCGCGAGCGCCCACCCGAGGGTCACGTCACAGTGACCGCCCCCGTGGCCTGGGAAACCGCCGTCTCAGCGGCTTGGCCAGGCAGGGGCCCTCCGTGGCAGACGACCCCCTATCTAACGTCGACCGTCGCCACAGTACCGCGATTTCAGTAGTTTCTGCAGGGCGGAGCCAGGCTGAGGAAAGCTGCAGAGGAGCTTCAGGGATGCCCAGGGCGATCCCCAAGAATCCCCAGGATACTTCAGGCCTCCTCAGATGCTGTGGGGGATGCGTCTCCTTGAAAACTGTCCCTGCTGGGAATTCCGGATACTGCCAGCCTGTGTGCTGGGGGCTGCTCTCTCCCTGAGGGGCTTCCTGGCAGAGAGCAGAACCCCACAGCCTCAGGAGCTGTCTGCAACTGTTGGATGTCTCCGTGTGTCTTTCTGTATGTGTGTCTCTGTGTGTGTGTGTGTGTGTGTGTGTCTGCATGTGTCTATGTGTGTCCATGTGTATTTTTCTTCGTGTTTATATGTGTGTGTTCGAGTCGTGTATGCTGGACGTAAGTGTGGCCTGTGCACTCAGGCAAGGTTGCTCTCTAGTCTTTCTACCTTGCATCCTTAGCGGCTTAGGCGCTGTGGGGCCCCGCCTTCTTTGTGTTGCTCCTGGTTTCTAAAGCCTTATTGTAGTGGGGATCTGGCTCCCACCCGCAGCTCTCCTAATCGCCTTTTCATCCCAATGGGGGGTCACTCCTGCAAAAAGTAGACAAGCACAGCACAGTGAAAACCATACTCTTCCACGGGCCTTTCGTCCTGCTGCACAGGTAGGACTGGTACAGTCCTCAGGTTTCCTTCAGGGAAGGTGAGAGTGTAAATTAGTTCAACCATTGTGGAAGACAGTGTGGCAATTCCTGAAGGACCTAAAAACAGAAATTCCATTTGACCCAGCCATCCTAATACTGGGTATATATCCAAAGGATTATAAATCGCTCAACTATCAGAACACATGCACACGAATGTTCATTGCAGCAATGTTTACAACATCAAAGACCTGGAATCAACCCAAAGGCCCATCGATGGTATACTGGACAGTGAAAATGTGGACCCGGGAATATTATGCAGCAATCAAAAACGATGAGTTCATGTTCTTTGTAGGGACCTGGATGAACCTGTAGAACATCATTCTCAGCAACTGACACAAGAACAGAAAATGAAGTACCACATGTTCTCACTCATAAGCGGGTGTTGAACAATGAGAACACATGGAAACAGGGAGGGGAGCACTACACACTGGGGTGTGTTGGGGGGAATAGCGGAGGGACAGCAGGGTGTAGGGAGTTGGGGAGAGATAGCATGGGGAGAAATGCCAGATAAAGGTGAAGAAGAGGAAGTCAGCAAATCACACTTTCATGTGTGCACCTATGCAACTATCTTGCATGTTCTTCACATGTACCCCAAAACATAAAATGCAATTAAAAAATAAAGAAACAACAATCATCACTCTTTGAACAACATATTTGTCTAAGTTTTTTGATAACCATGATTTCTTCTTGTTGCTCTGAATTGTTTCTAGAAAATAAGGTGTCTTATTGATATTTTCTACTCTCTTAATGCACTTTTAAATCACCAGAATCTCACCTTAATTTTTCCAATTAGCCTTATGATATTTGTTCTTCAAGGTCCAGTGCTCTTTGGTGTAACACAGGCAATGTCTACAGGATGAACAGTTCTGCTTTTGTTTTTGTTTCTTCCACAGTTCCAGCTGCTTCTTGAAAACCTGACTGCTTTATTCGGAGTTGGTTTTCCTCACTAGTTGTTCTTAATACCTACATCTTTTAGAAAACTATTCATATCATTTGATATTATTTCAAAAGCAGATGCTTTTTTCAATTAAGATACTTAATAATTTTCATGATTGTTAACCAATGCTTGGGTCCTACCTGAACATCTATCATTTGAAAGTTAAGATTCAAACAAAGTTCAAGAAGCAAGTTTACATACATGAAACAATTTTATCTCCAAAAGTCCTTTACTAAGTTAATTCTTAAAGTAGATGAACATCACCCAGGCCTGGGTTTCACACCTCCCTCCACTGGACTGCTCAGGCCTGGGTTCTGTGCCCACTGTTGAAAAGAGAGTGGGTGAGATCTAACTCCCAAATGATAGAGTCCTGTTACCAGAAGAATGGAGAATGGATGCTGGGCAGGCAAAGCCAATAAAAATATATATATATACTTGAGCAGGGGCAAGAGCTCATGACTGTAATACCAGCACTTTGGGAGGCTGAGGTGGGCAGATCACAAGGTCTGGAGATCGAGACCATCCTGGCTAATATGGTAAAACCCTGTCTCTGACAAGAATATCAAAAATTAGGTGAGCTTGGTGGTAGGTGCCTATAATCCCAGATACTCGGAAGCTGAGGCAGAACAATCGCTTGAACTTAGGAGGTGGAGATTGCAGTGAGCCGATATCATGCTACTGCAGTCCAGCCTGAGCGACAGAGCAAGATTCCATCTAAAAAAATGATATACTTATTTCTCTTCTCCTCTCCCTTGTTCTTGTTTTGCTTTTTTCCTAGAGTAGGCCCTAGATATAAAATCATAAGTTTAACATCACAATCCATTGAAGAAAAAAGTGCGAACATTTCAGAATTAAACATAATTATAATGTCACAATGCTATGTTAAATAGATGTTAAATTAAATCAAAAGATAGAAATATATGATTGGTTAGTGCAAAAAAATATTTCTCATGTAGATGTTTTCTGTAATTAAAAAATGTCAGCTAGAATACTTCAAAATTTCTTCAAATTTATCAGACTTGAATACAGGTCTTGAAAAAAGTAATTTTTGTCAACTTTAAAAAATTTAAAAACAAGCCCTTCTTATGAGAAAATAAATAAATCTTTATCTATTAAAGAGTCTAATTAAAAGATAAAAATTCAAAGCTTTTTATACATGTATCCCACAGATATTTATAAATTAAGCCTTAAACTGTCATGTTATAATGCTGCTTCAGTGTCTAAATAAAAATCTAGGTTTCTAATTTTCTTTTTTTTTTTCTTTAATTTTTTTTATTGGATTATAGGTTTTGGGGTACATGAGCAGAGCATGCAAGACAGTTGCGTAGGTACACACATGGCAGTGTGCTTTGCTTTTCTTCTCCTCTTCACCCATATTTGGCATTTCTCCCCAGGCTATCCCTCCCCACCTCCCCCTCCCACTGGCCCTCCCCTTTTCCCCCCAATAGACCCCAGTGTTTAGTACTCCCCTTTCTGTGTCCATGTGTTCTCATTTTTCATCACCCACCTATGAGTGAGAATATGCGGTGTTTCATTTTCTGTTCTTGTGTCAGTTTGCTGAGAATGATGTTCTCCAGATTCATCCATGTCCCTACAAACGACACAAACTCATCATTTCTGATTGCTGCATAATATTCCATGGTGTATATGTGCCACATTTTTCCAATCCAGTCTATTATCAATGGGCATTTGGGTTGATTCCAGGTCTTTGCTATTGTAAACAGTGCTGCAATGAACATTCGTGTATATGAGTCCTTATAGTAGAACGATTTTTGGATATATACCCAGTAATGGGATTGCTGGGTCAAATGGAATTTCTATTTCTAAGGCCTTGAGGAATCGCCACACTGTCTTCCACAATGGTTGAACTAATTTACACTCCAACCAACAGTGTAAAAGTGTTCCTTTTTCTCCACATCCTCTCCAGCATCTGTTGTCTCCAGATTTCTTAATGATCGCCATTCTAACTGGCGTGAGATGGTATCTCAATGTGGTTTTGATTTGCATCTCTCTGATGACCAGTGACGATGAGCATTTTTTCATATGATTGTTGGCCTCATATATGTCTTCTTTCGTAAAGTGTCTGTTCATATCCTTTGCCCACTTTTGAATGGGCTTGTTTGTTTTTTTCCTGTAAATCTGCTTGAGTTCTTTGTAAATTCTGGATATCAGCCCTTTGTCAGATGGGTAGACTGCGAAAATTTTTTCCCATTCTGTTGGTTGCCGATCCACTCTAGTGACTGTTTCTTTTGCCGTGCAGAAGATTAGGTCCCATTTGTCTATTTTGGCTTTTGTTGCCAATGCTTTTGGTGTTTTGTTCATGAAGTCCTTGCCTACTCCTATGTCCTGGATAGTTTTGCCTCGATTTCCTTCTAGGGTTTTTATGGTGCCAGGTCTTATGTTTAAGTCTTTAATCCATCTGGAGTTAATTTTAGTGTAAGGTGTCAGGAAGGGGTCCAGTTTCTGCTTTCTGCACATGGCTAGCCAGTTTTCCCAACACCATTTGTTAAACATGGAATCCTTGCCCCATTGCTTGTTTTTGTCAGGTTTATCAAAGATTGTATAGTTGTATGTATGTTGTGTTGCCTCCGGTGCCTCTGTTTTGTTCCATTGGTCTATATCTCTGTTTTGGTACCAGTACCATGCTGTTTTGATTACTGTAGCCTTGTAGTATCG